CAGCCGGCCACGCTCACTGTCTGCCGAGACGACTCCCAGTGCGCCTTGCCGTTGTAGAAGCAGTATTCATCCTGGACACAGAGCAAGCACAGCATCACCTCCCGCTCCCGGCCACGCGCGGGACCCACGCTCAGTCGGTCAAGGCTGCCGAAGCCAGAGCCGGTCCCTCCTCGCCACACGCCGTCCGGGTCCACGCTCCCCTCTCGCTTCGCCAACCCAGACTTTCAACACCATCAGTGGGGCCTGGAGTTTGTCCCACACGAGGTGGCGAGATTACAGAGATGGTAAGATGCTTCCCTGCCCTCAAGGAGGCAGCCTTGGGGTAAGACGAAACGCATGTTTTCAGAAAATAGTTAAGTGTTGGCGAGGATGTGGATAAACCAGAACCCGCATTCGTTGCTGGTGGGATTGTAAACATGGTGCAGCTGCTGTGGAGAACATGTGAAGTCTCCTCAATTAGCTAAACACAGAATCACCATGTGATCCAGCAGTTTCACTCCTGGGTACATATCAAAGAAAACCAAAAGCAGGGATGCAAAGAGACACACGTCCACCAACATTCACATGGCACTGTTCACGACAGCCAAGTGTGCATCAACCGAAGAATGGATAAACAAAGTGCAGTCCATCCACACAATGGAATACTACTCAGCCAGAAAGAGAAAGTGAGGTCCTGACTCAGGCCGCAACATGGTGGACATGAGAACATCACACCGAGTGAAAGAAGCCAGGCACAAAAGGCCACATACTGTAAGATTCCACTTACATGAAATGTCTCAAATGACAAACCCAGAGATCGAAAGCAGAGTCACGGTTACCAGGTGCAGATGGGAGGGAAAAGGGAGCGTTACTGCTTAAGGGGCACTGAGTTTCCGTTGGGGCTGATGAGAAAACCTAGAGACAGTGGGGATGGTTACACAATTGAAAATAATTCATGTCCCTGAATCATGCACTTAATGCTTAAAATGCCCATGTTTTATGTATTTCATCACAATAAAATCATCATCTTAAAATGTTGATGAAGCACAACTGTAAATGAAAGTTTTAAGAGAAAAACTGAAAGAGGAAAAATGTGCAACAAGAGCACGGGAGACACAAGAAGGAAAGGGTGGATGGCTGTTAAAAAAACACAGCGGCTGCCTGGCTACCAGTACTGAGCCTTCTGATCAAAGGGGGAGAAAATGCAGAACAAAATTTCAAATTCTCATGGAATCCAGATTTGTTAGAGGCACAGAGGCTGAGTGAACCCACATACTTGTTGCCGCGAGGTAACCTTTAAATCTTAAGCCCTGAAGTCTTCTTAAACCAAGTAACAGTAGCAGCTAGGCTCTATCAAGTCAGTTTGGACTCACAGCAACCTCACACCCAACAGAAGAAAACAAGGCCCAGGCCTGTGCCATCCAAGCTTCTAGCTTAGTTGGCAAAGAAGGCCTTGAGCACTGAGCTCCTGGAAGATTTATCCACATGGGGTCAGACTGACAACAGCCACTGGAAAGGATACATAGGGGCTTAGGGGACAGTGAGGTTATGTCAGTGCGGGAGGGGGGATGTTCGCACAACACACAGGGTGTCCTCAGAGTCACTGAGCTGTACGTGAACAAGCTGATGAACTGGTATATGTTCTGCTGTGTCTATTCTCAACAAAAAAAATTAATAAAGCAAATTATTTCAAAGAGAGAACAGCAACCTTGAGCCAGAACTAATCACCTGGTAGCTAAGTCCACTGAACTGAAAAATAATGACTGTAATCCTCCTTTAAAAACTCCCCGACAAGAACAGTCAACAATTACGGTACAGCAAAGGGGAGAAGGGGAGGGCCAGGGAGACTAGATGAACAGATGAAGAACCACCAGAGCAGAACTAACGAGAAGGCCTGCGCACTGTGGAGGATGGAACCATGCTCACCGAGCAGCTGCCGCAGAGCTGGCTGGGAGCCAAACTGCTGGGTAAACCTGCACCAGAAGCACAAGCAATAGTATTTAAAGAAAGACAGACAGACAAGCAGGGCCCCAGGGGACGCAACCCCGAGCACCTGGAGCCAGGTGGGCGCCACAGACCTGAGGGAGAGCTGAGGGGAGCCACGGCCCTGGGTCTGTGCCGTGAGCCTGCAATGGCACAGACAGAATTTCTGGGAGATGACTCTGTTCCCACTTCCTAACCTCATGCTGCGTATTAATCGTGTTCTATTTATGCATCGCCTTCTGTGACTCCTTGTAGCCACAAGCACAGAAGAATCCTGCCCCCGCAACCACATTCCTAAGATCATAAAACCAAGACAGGAACAGCTCACGGGACAGACAGAACCACATTCCCCAGAGCCCGAAACTAAGGGACCCTGCCAAAGAAGTAACGCAGATGTAAAATTACTGCTTCAACGGCATCTCCTGACCAGGCCTTTCTGGAGACGTCTTCCAGCCCACCACCCGTGGTCAGCGTTCACCAGTTTACTGCTTCGACGGCATCTCCTGATAACAGGCCATCTTTGAAGTGTCTTCCAGCCCACCACCCGTGGTCAGCATTAACTAGTTTTAGAGTCTGCGCCCCCCCTGCCCTCCTTCACCTCCTGATGAACTAAGATGGCCGATCTAAGACAAGACCACGACTCCAACCAAGAGCAAACAGCAGAACACGCCTGCACAGACGTCGCGCCGTCCGTGTGGGAACAGACTTAGAGAAGGACTGCACATGCGCCTCGCCTGGGGGAAGCTGAGGTCGGTCAGGGATTTATCACAGCCTTGTTCCACCTCCTGAGTCTCACAAAAGGGTCAAGATTTTATGAATACACGCCTGCATTAAAAAAAAAAAAAAAAAATCCACTGCCTTTCTGTCAGATCCAACTCAGAGCGACCCCTCCTTGGGTTTCCAAGGCAGTATCACTACAGAAGTAGACTGCCCAACCTTCCTTCTGAAGAGTGGCTGGTGGGTTTGAACCGGCAGCCTTCTGGTTAGCAGTCAAGTGCCTTAGGCACTGCACCACCAGAGCTCCCCCAGCCTGCATAAGGTCTTTTGAAATCACCTACCTCACAGCCTTCAAACTATTACAAATCCCCGGCCTGTAAGGCTCGGGGAGACACCCACAGCGTTGCCTCTGGCCCCGTGCGTCTCCACCTGGCAAGGCTGCCATCCTCTTATCAAACTTCTTTCTGAGCTACAGCTGAGTTGCTAGCTGTTGTTTCGAAACTCAACCTACTACGAGCCGTGGGCCGCAAGCCGTGAGCCGCAAGCCCTGGGCCGTGAGCCGTGGGCCGTGAGCTGTGCTTTAACAAGGAGGTGTGAGGAGCCCCAGGTCTCACGAGCCCCACTGTAGTGGGACGGCTGGGCCCTAGGGGCGGGCTGTATTTTGAGGGGAAGGAGAGGCATGGGGTTGACTTCGGTTTGAAACACGTTGAAATTGAGGAGAGGCTGGCAGTTCGAACCCACCAGCTACCCCATGAGAGGAAGTCGCCTTCGGTGCAGACGACAGCCTTGGAGCCCCTGCGGGGCAGGTCTGCTCTCTCTCCGGGGGCTGGGGGCCGGAACCGACTCCGCGGTAGCAGGTGTGGTTGGTGAGGGTGCCGCTCTGCGCTCACGGGACCGGGGCCATCTGCTTCATCCGTGTCCCATCTCAGCCGCCCAGTGCTGCCACCGCAGAAACAGCACAAGAGGGTGGCCACGGGAAACACAGAGCAATGTACTCACGGCCCGGGATGCTACAAGGCCCCGCCCAGGTGGCCGCTCCGGGGTGAGGTGCTCTGTCCCCAGTAGGGGCAAATCCTCTCACTTCTCGACTTGTCCCTGCGATCTCCACTGGGCAGCCCTCCCACGCGCTCCTGCACCACTGTCTGAACTGCCCCTTTAAATCTCCCGAGTGAGGGGTCTGACACACACGCCCCTAACTGTAGTCTCCCTCCGTCACATGGTACCACAGGCTGTGGCTGCTGTCAGCCGCCCTCCTGGCAGTTCCGGGAGAGCCACCCCCACAGGGGGAGCTGCCCCAGAGGGGTTCCTGGGCTGCCACCTTGACTTACTTTCATCTCATCTTTTTATTATTTGCTTATTTTTTAATTTTGATTGTGATGTGGGTGCAAGTTGACAGAGCAAATCCGTGTTCCACACGGCAGTCCACACACATTTTGTCTCAGGACACCGACTGTAGCTGCCCACAATGTAACAGCTCTAGGCCGTCATCTGTATGAAAGCGGGTCACCAGGTCTCTCTCCCATGAAGCCAGTGGGTGGGGTTCGAACTGCCAACTGAGAGCACTGAACCGCTGCACCACCAGGGCTCCTTCGCCACACGCATCGGGGTTAGGATTTACAACACACATGTTTGGGGAGCAAAACTCAATCCAGCACACCACTAGCACTTGGATGAAGTAACATAGGGGAATATAATTCTACCAAAACAAGCCTTTCCACTGGCAGAGGGCAGCTCTTTCTTGGCTACAGTGTGGCTGTGACTGTCCCCTGTCCCCCAGGGGGCTGCTGGAATGTCACACACGCTCCCACAGTTTGCTCTTTGCTTCAGAAAAGCCCTTAGAAGCATGATGCTCTCACTCTGCGCTTCCGTTACCTCGTTCCCCTACAAGCCCCTCAGAGGCTGAGGGAGTCACATAGAAGCCCCAAAAACATCCCCGGAGGCACTGAAGGAAGCAGGCGCTCAGGAGCTATAGGCGAGCACACGTCATGCAGCCCAAAGCAGGAAGAATACACGCGTCCATCAGGACCAACACGCGAACAAAACGTGGTCAAGCCACAGGGCGGACTGCCACCTGGTTACAAAAGGAAAGACGTGCAGGCACATGCTGGCCACGAAGAGCCTTGGAAACGTCATGCTGAGAGAAAGGGCCCAGACACAGGGACCATGGCTGTGGGATCCCATCTGCAGGAAACGTCCACTTGGACAAATCCAGAGAGACGAACAGCAGGTCAGTGGGAGCCAGTGGCTGGGGCAGGAAGGAGTGGGGAGTGACTGCTAAGAGGCACAGGGTCTCCTTTCGGGCCGATGAAACAGTCCAGACCAAGCCAGTGGTGAGGACTGACCGCACGCTTTAATACGATTAAATGACAGGTTTTATGTCATGGGCATTGACCACTACAGAACCCAGCTCCGATCCCAAGGGGAAGTGGCGGAGCACTTACATGCAGTGGGCGGTAGTACTGGGCAACCACGCCATACGTTCTGTTTCCACACACGTCCGTCAGGACCAGGAAGTGGACATAGTCCTCCTTGGGCTCCGAGGCCATACACACACCTCCTGGAGACAGAAACAAAGAAAGACAATGTCTTGTTACAGCCACCACGCCTGCTGTCAGGCCCCGGCTATCCACAAGCCAACGTTCTTCAGCACACAAAACAAGAGTATCTCCGACCAGGCTCCCGAACTCACTGTCTCCCTCAACTCCTTCTCTGGAACCCCCATGCCCTGAGATACAGCAGGTAAACGTGTGGGCAACAGAGCTACTGTGGACGAGGAGATCAGTCTTCCAGGTCAGCTGGTGGCCAGTGGCTGATGGTCTTGGGCAGAGCAGGGGACGAGGGCCATTCAGGTGCTCCCACACCTGTCCCCAGTTCACAGTCATGGGACCAGCAGCGGCACCAAGACAGGCCCTTACGTCAAGTCTTTGAGGCCCAGAGAGTCGTGCAGCTGAGACACCAGGCTCCCACTGCTACTGGACCCGGCGTGCACGTGGAATGGGCTCCAGCCTGTGTGTCTCGTCCCCGTGGAACAGAACGCCGGAGGAGTGGGTGGGAAGGGGCCCCTCAGGCCAGCACAAACTCTGGGGACGGAACCGCAGACGTGGTAACTCGACATATTTTGAACCTGTCTGCCACGGCCTCCGTCGGTCAGCGGAAGCTTGTGCGTTGCCGTGATGCCAGACGGGTTTCAGTGGAGAAGGGCTGGGAAGGCAGGCCTGGGGGTCTCTGCTGAAAGCCAACAGTGAAAACCCTCTGGCCTCCCAACCATCGTGACAGCTAGAGTGGTCCTTCACTGAGCAAACAGTAACAAAAACTCAGAACAAACAGAAAGCCCCACCGTCCGGTCTGCAGCCAGTCATGAGGATGGCACAGAAATGGGTAGTAGGGTTTGGCTGTGCACGAGGTCCCCGTGAGTCAGGGCCGACTGGATGACGGCTAATGTCAGCCAAGCCTCTTTAAGACTTTATTTTCAACTCAAGCTGAGAGCCTTTGAAAGCATCTTACACACACTGTGCCACCTGTGGGTCCATGCAGCCTCTCCCCAAGGACTCCTGCCCACTGCCATCAAGTCTATTCAACTCATAGCAACTCTTCACGACAGAGTGGAACTGCCACCTAGGGTTTCCAAGGCTGTCAATCTTCACAGAAGCAGACTGCCTCATCTTCCTCCTATGGAGTGGCGGTGGGTTTGAACTGCTGACCTTTTTTTGGTTGGCAGTCCAGTGTCTTAACCACTGCACCAGCAGAGTGCTAGGAGTCAGTTCCCCTTAAAATGAGGAATGTACTAACTGGTTGAAACTTCCTCTTAGCTCATGAGACGGAAAGGGCAGCACAACAAAGCCCAGACGGCAGGAAGGGGCAGGAAAGAAGGACTAGTGGGATTGGGGACCGCGGGGAGGAAGGGGAAGAGAGCTGTTACACTGGGGCGATTACAACCAGTCACAAAACAAAAGTGCATAAAACTTTGTAGGAAACCAACGAGCTCTGTAAACTCTCCCCGAACCACAGTCAGACAAGGCAAAACTTCTTTTTGCTTTGCAATCTCAAGATTAAAAATAACACACTCCACAACACAGGACCCCCTGTCGCATGGGCCACAAGGGGCCGCCGGCTCGGACTCCGGGCCCGTCCTCACTGAGCTCGTTTCTAGAATCGGTTGCTCCCCGTGGTCAGAACACCCTGACCACCACCCTGGGTCCCACTGAGGAACGGTACCTGGGAAGCAGAGCTGGGGCAGGGCAAGCAGGTCCACGTCGTTGGGGACACTGACGTCCTCAAGCTCCAGCACCTTCGGGTCCCCTGGGGGGCTCGTGTAGGGCTCCGGCTTGGGTCTCTCCCTCTTCTTCCTGTAGGAGCGCCGTCTGCCTGTGCTCAGAGGAGCACAATTGGCAGTGGTCACTGGACTGTCCTCCTTGCTGACGAACGGAGGCACGAACACCGACAGGACCTCGGGCTCGAGAGCAGGAGCCTCCACTCCCCTCTGGGCGGCCTGCAAGGGCAGCGCGAGAGTTAGTGCCGCAGCGCCGGCCCCGCTCCTGCTCTGTGCTCTGCACGTGGCTTCCTCTGACTGCCCTTGTGCCACAAACACCAGCGGCTCTGCACCTCCCCACACCACGACCGTGAGGCCGTGACCCTGAGGACCACGTCAGGGGTGGATTGTGTCCCCATCCTAACTCGGTAACTGTGACCGGGACCTTGTTTGGAAATAGGGGCTTGGAGGTCGTACTAGAGTAGGGCAGATCCCAATCCCATCTGAGTAGTGGCCCATAAACGAAGAGACACAGTGACAGGGGAACAGAAAATGCCATGCGGTGCTGAGGCTGCAGCCAAGGGATGCCGGAGCCATTAGAAGCTGGGAGAGAGGCTTGGATGGAGGAGCGCCCCCAGAGCCCCAGAAAGAGTCCACATGGCTGACACCCTGATCTCAGATGCCAGCCTCCAGAACCGGGAGACAGCGCATGCCTGTTCTCACGCGCCCCCTAGTGTGTGGGGCTTGTTACAGCAGGACTAGCACATGGCCTCCCAAGGTTGATTGAGGGACCTCGCAGGCACTAAGCCCAAGCTGGAGAGCCTGTGTCTCCAGCAATAGTGCAGACAGCAGCAACTCACCATCCTCAGCACACAGTGGTTCAGAGCACTGTGTCCGAGAGACCTGAGTTCAAAGCCCACTGTCTTGAACCGTGGGAGGCAAGTTACCTCATCCCTGAGCTTCCCTTGCAAAGTGCTGGTGCTGGGAATGAAGGAGACGCGTAGGTCAAGGGCCCAGCCCGCCTGGCTCCCAGGAAGCCCCCAGAGCACTGTGGTGGCCCACCTCTCCCAGCGTGGGTGGAGGGCACAGCTGAAGGGCTACGCACAGTCACACCCTAAACAAAAACATCAGCCAGCGTTTCCTCGAAGCCAAGTGGCCATTGAAACAAAACCAAGCCAGCTGCCGTGGAGTCGACTCCGACTCACGGAGAGCCCACGTGTGCTCCAGGGCTTTTCTGTGGCTGTGACTCTGGCACACAGATCACCAGGACTTACTGCCAAGGTGCCTCGGGGGGGCTGAACCACCAACTTTTTAAAATTTTTATTGTGATTTGGGTGAAAGTTTACAGAGCAAGTTCATTTTCCATACAGCAGCTCATACACAGTTTGTTTCACGACATTGACTGCGATTCCCCACAGTGTAACAGCTCTCTTCCCCCTTCCTCCCTGGAGTTACTTCTTCCCTGTGTCCTTCTTTCCTACGCATTCCTGCCCCTGAGCTGTCTCCCTGTGCAAAGCCTGCCCTTCTGTTCTTATTGATCAGTCTAAGGAGTGTATCTACCTGATAAATGCTCACCCTCTCTGCCTGTCTATTGTTTGGCTGGAAGCTGCAGGAGTGAGTTTAATTCCAGACCTGAAGGGTAACTAGGGACCACTGTCTCAGGGGTGTCACCAGGCTCTATCAGACCAGTCAATCTGGTCTTTCTTATGATTTTGAGTTTTGTTCCATATTGGTCTCCCATCTCTCCAGAATCTCCTGCACTGATCCCCTTCCCAGCGTCGAACCACCAAACTTCAGGTTAGCAGTCCAGCACTTAACTATGTGGACCACCTGCCCATTCCTAGTCACCACTGATCTGGGAAGAGTGCAGCCCTCCTTGGTAGATAGACCACGTGGCCTTTCTGGAGTCAGCTAAGAGGCCGTTTGGCCTGGATTCTTTGGCACTTTAATTTCGTACAAGTTTTCTGGGATTTTTTCATCTTTTATCTTTTCATTTTCCTCAAATCACATAAAGAAGACAGATCCTATGTTCCTTCTCTTTTCCATCTAAGTCCAGTGCCTGAGAGTTCCTGCTGCATAGTTAGGAGGAGACAAGAATTGCCACCAGGCTGGTCTCAGCTCTTGAGGAAGGTCTGGACTGCACTGTACGGCGGGGGGGCTGGGTGCTAAGTGGGCCGTTGTTGGCAGTCATCCAGTCGGCTCTGACTCGTAGTGACCAGGACCACAGACCAGAACCCTGCCCGGCCCTGCGCCGGCCTCACAGTCCTCGCTTTGCTCGGGCCCACTGCGGCAGCCACTGTGTCTGGCCGTCTTGTTGGGGGTCTTCCTCTTTTTTGCTGACCCCCTACCTTAGCATACGAGGCCTCGTATGCATGTGAGAGCTGGACAATGAATAAGGAAGACCAAGGAAGAGTTGGTGCTTTTGAGTTGTGGTGCTGGCGGAGAATGCTGAAAGTACCATGGACTGCTAAAAGAACTAACAGATCTGTCCTGGAGGAAGTGCACCTGAAATGCTCCTTGGAAGCAAGAATGGGCAAACTTCGTCTCACCTACTTTGGTTATGTTGTCAGAAGGGACCATTCCCTGGAGCAGGATGTCATGCTTGGTAGGGTGGAGGGTTGACGAAAGTAGGGGAGGCCTTCGACAAGATGGATTGACACAGTGGCTGTGATGATGGGCTCAGGTATAGCAGGGATCATGGAGCTGGCGTGGGATTGGGCAGTGTTTCGTTCTGCTGTGTGTGGGGTCGCTATGAGTCAGAAACGACTTGACGGCACCTAACAACAACAACTACCTTAGCAAGCATGATGTCCTTCTCCAGGGACTGGTCCCTCTTGATAACGTAACCAAAGAACAGGAGGCGCAGTCTCACCATCCTTGCTTAAGGAGCACTCTGGCTGTATTCTTCCAAGACAGATTTGCTTGTCCTTCTGGCGGTCCATGTACATTCGATGTTCTTCACCAACATCGTCATTCAAATACATCAACTGATGCCTTTGAACTGATGCCAAGTAGGCTAACAACAGAAAACCCTAAAGCAGGAGTCTTGGGATCTAAAAGATACGGGGCTTTCACTTAGAGCAGGTGCCCAGGACAGACAACGGCACCGAGACAGAAAGGAGTCTAGAGGTTCCCGGGGGCTGGGAGGACGGGGGTGGTGGTGACCGGCGTTGTACAGTCAGGTCTGACTCCTGGCCACCCGTGTGTGTGGAGCAGTCTGCTCTGTAGGGCCCGTGTGCGTGGAACAGTCCGCTCCGTAGGGCCCGTGTGCGTGGAGCAGGCCCGCTCCGTAGGGCCCATGTGTGTGGAGCAGGCCCGCTCCCCAGGGCTGGGAGGACGGGGGTGGTGGTGATCGGTGCCGTGCAGGCAGGTCCAACTCCTGGCCGCCCGTGTGTGTGGGGAGTAGACCCGCTCCGTAGGGTTTTCAAGGTTCCAACCCCTCAGAAGCAGATCACCAGGCTGGCCTGCCGAAGTGCATCAGGTGGGTTTGAACTGCCAACCTCTAGTCCAACTGCAGTTGCTAGTCTAGTGCTTACCCATGTGTGCCTGAGTTCAAGTGTAGGAGGGCCATGTTCTCTCTGTCTCCTCTAAGGAGAAACCTCACCTTGTCTCTTCCAGCGTCTGGTGGTCCCAGGAGTCCCCTGGCTCGTAGACCCATCTTATCATGGCCCTCTTTCCTCTGTGTCTGTGTTTCTTCTCCTCTAAGGACACCACTTAGGATCTGGCCCACCTGACCCCAGGAAGGCCTCCCGTTAACTTCAACTGATCACAGCTTCAAAGACTCTTTCCAAACAAGGTCATGCTCACAAGTACCAGGGATAGGACTGCCTTTTTGAAGGACACATACAATTCCTAGCAACCTGAATTCAGGGATTCTTTGTCAGCAAGAGAAAACAGCACCCTGTCCAAGAAAGAAACAAAACGTTAGGACAACACATTGTCTTAACTTCAAGTTGGAAGCTTCTCGTTGCTTTGGGCTTCTGTTTCCCATGTCACCAAATGCCTGAACCACAGAACAGTGATTTGTTAAAAGTGTAACTAGAAAGTAATGTTAAAAGCCTTGCAAATTTAGTACCTCACACCATACACAAAAACTACCTCCAGATGGATCAAAGACCTAAATGTGAAACCTAAAACTATAAAGTTCCTCAACAGAAAACTAGGGGCAAATTTAGGGCGTAGTGCCTAAGGCACTTGACTGCTAACCAGAAGGCTGGTGGTTCAAACCCACCAGCCAATCCTCAGAAGGAAAATGGGGCAATCTACTTCCGTAGTGATACTGCCTCGGAAACCCAAGGAGGGGTCGCTATGAGTCGGGTCCGACTCGACGGCACATAACAACAACAACAACAACAATATATGGCATAAATAGACTATCAAGCATAACCCAAAATGCACAAACAGCAGAAGAGAAACTAGATGAATGGGATCTTCTAAAAATTAAATTTTTATGTGCTTCCAAAGACTTCTCCAAAAGAGTCAAAACAGAAACTACAGATTGGGAAAAAACATTTGACAACAGCCTATCTGACAAGCGACTTATCTCTAGAATTTATAGAAAACTCCAACACCTCAACAACAAAAAAATGAATGATCCAATTAAAAAATGGGCAGAAGACATGAATAGACACTTCACCAAGGAGGATATTCAGGTGGCCAACAAGCATATGAAGAAATGCTCACGATCATTAACCATTAGAGAGATGCAAATCAAAACAACAATGAGATACCATCTTGCCCTAGCACTAGCAGCAAAGTTCAACAAGACACAAAATAAATGCTGGTGAGGATGCTGATAGATTGGGACTCTCATACACTGCTGGTGGGACTGTAAAATGGTACAACCACTGTGGAAAGCAGTATGGTGATTCCTTAAAAACTTGGAACTAGAAATACCGTTTGACCCAGCTATTCCATTACTAGGTATATATCCTAAAGAAATGAGAGCCAGGACAAGAACAGACATATGCACACCCATGTTCATCGCAGCACTATTTACAATAGCCAAAAGATGGAAACAACCTAGGTGTCCATCAGCTGAGG